AAAACCAATGGTGTATGCTTTTGACTTGCATTACTTATCAGCAAATCATGTCGATTGCAGGGCACTAAGTTTCCTTGGTGTATGCTTCTTTTACCAGGAGAAAAGGAAGTGAACTCCATGTACAAGACTCTATCCTAACAAAATATCTATTATCCTAACCATCGGAATAACTTCTCTTAGCATTATTCCAAAGCACCAAAACACACATGTCGTAAAGTCACGTATGATGAGATAAATTTTCTTCCGAGATTGATAACTCCTAGATGTTGCACTTGTTTACAATAGATACATTAAATGAAATATGTTTGTATGAAAGTGTAAATTACATTTAACATAAAGGAAAACCAGATCAATCATTTTTTCCCCTCAATCTTTCTCTTTCAACTCTTCAAATGCAAAGAGTTCATACAAAAACCAAAAACATCATCTAGCACAATTTCCATTTCATTTCAAAACAACCAGACAGAGAAATAGAAAATCTTGTGCAGGAAATCAAAATTTCTTACCTTTTTGCCCGCAGGAAATCAGTCTGCCCAAATCGAACACATGCATTGATGAGAACTCCAACAGTTGAGCCCCAATCAAACACAGTTGAGCTTCAATAGCTGCTTTGGATTCCGATTTGAGCTCTAATAGCTGCTTATCCTTCATAATCGATTACATGCATAGATTAATTTTAGCCCTTTTTTATAATTAATTAATTTTAGCCCTTAACAGCACAAATATGGCAAATATATTTTTAAGAGGGATGGAAAAAGAGTTCAGTACATGCTGATAAATCAGCTCTAACACACACATATGTAGAGAGAGAAAGAAAGAGTTGACATTGATTTTCCACTTACAGGACTAGGTATTTCAATGAAAATTCTGTATTCTGGCTATGAAGTGAGAGAAGAGAGGGAGCTAGAGAGAGAATGACAACAAAAGAGAAACAAGAATAATCTATGAGAGAAGATAGAGTCAGAGAGACATTCTAAGAGATAGATAGAGACTGGGAGAGACTAGAGAGAAGGGTTTACTGCAGGAAAGATAAGTTTCACGGAAGAGTACTTTGGGTAATTGGAGGAAAGTTAATAAAATAGATTGAGCAGCGGTCACACTATCTCTTAGGCAGCGATTAGAGAAAAAGGCTAGCATAAAGGCACTCCTGTATATTTGCCGAAAGAAAGAGAGAGAAAAAAAAAAAAAGAAGTCAGGTTCCTGCAGCAGTTTATTTAGATTGTTACTATACATCCACCATCATTTCCTCATTAACTTGCAGTGAGGATATGAGATGAATTCAATGCTAAGATTCTTGTCTGCAAAGAGAACAAGAAATGAAAGCAAAACTCAGAATTCATTGAGAAGTCAGGCTCATAGTAAATTTCTTGTGTTACAGCAATTATCCACGTCGCCGGATGAAAATTCTCACTGCAGGAATCACTCAATCTAGCAACCACACATGCACAACACCATCTTTCATGCACGGAAAAGTTTTTGGAAAAGAGTTACTAGCAGATCCAGGACATACAAGGGATGAGGGACTAATTTAAAGAAAGAGAAAACATGTGTAATATATAAATAATAATAATAATTGATTATTGGAGATACAGCCTGAAAAGCCACTAATCATTTGTTAGGAAGGTGGTTACTCAAGTTGTTCTGTTTTGGCCTCTGCAGCTTTCATCATTAACAGAATGATATCAGAAATACCAAGGTCTGCACTGAAAATTAGCTCTAATCATCTAAACCAGATACCAAATCTAAAGCAGCAACCCAACGCATCGGTAACTGAGATACTATATATAAATTTGGCAAAGCATATTAATAAAGAATATCTAAGCAATCTTCACATGCTTTAAAGAACTACTGCGACAGCCATACAAATAAATAAATAACAGGGGAATCAGTTTTGGCATCACAAGTGAACATGACTACTTATTAATCAATCGCTCAATAATATGCTAAACATTGATCAGCAATAGATTTACATTCAACCGAACTCAAACATTGATCAGCAATAGATTTACTTTCAACCACACTCAGATCCATTATTATCAAGCCCTCAAGAGTAAATTCAAGACATGCCAGGGATTTTAAAAAATAAAAAATAAAAAACCCAAAGAACTACATATGTTTCCTTCATGAATGTCATCCAATTCTTTAGTACATGAAAAGGATTCCACATTTGATCATGAAAAGGATTCCAAATTTGACCAAACTTAATTATAAACAGGCAACCTCAAGAAACTACCATGTAACTACCAATCAAGCAAGGCTACTTGGCGACAACCCAGCAAGGCACTTTCATCATACACTGAAGGTAACAAATTGTGACAAGTTTGAGAAATGTCATCGACACACCAAACACTAGAAACAAAGATTGACAAAAAATATACACAGAACAGAAAAAATAAGATAGAGAGAGTTGTCAGGATTCACCATTTTTGCATGACAAGATCTGGTTCTCTCTTGCAATTAGGGTTTAAGAATGTCGAAGCGCAAACCCTAAAAACTATGGCAGCCCCAGTCGTGCTCGAGAAAAGTGTGATTATACATTAGGTTGTTAAATGCTTGGAGACACCATCGTCTATTGTTGATATTCTACCAAACGGCACCATATATATCAAGCCTAGTTACTCATGCGCCAATGTGCTTTTATAATGTCTACCCCCAAGGAAAATGTAACCCTAGCCCACCGTGCGTGTGTAGCCCAACCCACGAAAGTAATTTGGATAATAAAAAATGCGTTTATCACTATAGGCCTCACTGAAATTCGTTTATCACTATACATTTATCACTCTAGTGAGGAAAGGACTCAATTGTTTTTTAAGCATTAAACAGATCAATGGACTCACTGAAATTACAAGAAATGTTGAAACCACATGACCAGTTCACCATTTGAGTTTATAAATTTTTGAGAGAGAGTTCGCATTTTGAAATTTCAGTTTAGGCCTCTGCTAAATTGCAGGGGAGGAAAAATCTATACACTTAAATTTAAATGGTCACAAGCACTTAATATTTTTCCTTCTTTTACTCACCATCGGAATAACTTCGAAAATACTAAACCAAATCGGAAAATACGCTGCGTTAGTCCACAGGACACCTTTTAAGGCTACTCAACAAGTTCTAACTTTTCTTTTATTAGATACTGTTAGAAGATGCTATATTTGGAATATATTATTACAGGAATCCTTCAATTACTCCTTGACAAAATATTTGATATGAGAATATCACAGGAGAGATTTTAGCCTATAATAGAATATTGACTGGAGTGATTTATGGTATTGATTTTAGAAATCTTCCATTAATGTATTTTCCATATTTATCACCTCTATTCATTCACCTATAAATAGAGGTGATCATTGTATACAAAGATTAAGAGAGAATATATTATAAAGTGATGTAGCCCTTTGGGCTCTTTGTGCCGTGGATGTAGGCCCTAGTGGCTAAACCACGTAATATCCTTGTGTTCTTAGTGTTTCATTTTTCTCTTCGCTTCCGTTTTGTGCTTTACAACAGATACAAAACTGGAAAATTACGCCATGCCAAACCAATGCTTATGTTATGACCTGTATGACTTGTCAGCATGTCGATTGCAAGTCACTAAGCTTCCTTGGTGTATGCTTCTAACTTTTATCAAATTCTATTTACCAGGAGAAAAGGAGGTGAACTCCATGGCATTATTCCAAAGCATCAAAACACAAGTGTTGTAAAGTCATGTATGATGACTGATGAGATAAATTTTCTTCCCAGATTGATAACTACTAAGATAACCATATTCACACTAAAGCTATTAAATTGAATTTTAAATGTTGCCCTTGTTTAAATAACTCTGCTATCCAACCTATACTACATTAAATGAAATATGTAGTGTAAATTACAATAAACATAAAGGAAAAATCAATTTTTTTTTTCCCACAATCTCTCTCTCTCAACCCTTCAAATGCATAGAATTCATACAAAAACCATAAACATCATCTAGCACAATTTCAATTTCATTTCAAAACAACCAAACAGATAAATAAAAAATCAAATTTTCTCACCTTATTATCCGCAGGAAATCAGTCGGCCCAAATCGAAAGAACTTCCACAGCTAAGCCCTAATCAAACTCAGTTGAGCTTCAATAGCTGCTTTAGACTCCAATTTGAGCTCCTATGGGTGCTTATGCTTCATAATCAACTACATGCAATGATTAATTTTAGTCCTAACAGCATAGGTATGGCAAATATTTTTTTAAGCGAGAGTTCGGCACATGCTGATAAATTAGCTCTAATACACATATATTTATATATGTATAATATGTTTATATGTAGAGAGAGAAAGAAAAAGTTGAGATTGATTTTCCAGTTGAGGACTGGACTACATATTTCAATGAAAATTCTGTATTCTTGCTATGAAGTGAGAGAAGAGAGAGAGCTAGAGAGAGGGTGACTGCAAGAGAGAAACAAGAGTAATCTTTGAGAGAAGATAGAGTAAGAGAGGAATTCTCAGAGATAGATGATTGTTCTCTAAATTTTTTTGGGCTTGAACAGTTTTGTGTGTAGTGCGAGAGAGAGGAGAGACGGGTGTAGAGCAGGAAATATAAGTTTCACGGAAGAGTACTTTGGGTAACTGGGGGGAAATTAATAAAATAGTTTGAGCAGCGGTCACAATATCTCTTAGGCAGCAGTTAAGAGAAAAAGGCTGGCATAAAGGGGCTCCTGCAACAGTTTATTTATACCGCTGTTATACATCCACCATCATTTCCTCATTAACTTGCAGTAAGGATATATGATGAATTCAGTGCTAAGATTCTTGCCTGCAAAGAGAATAATAGATAAAAGCAAAACTCAGAATTCATTATAAAGTCAGGCTCATAGTACTGACAAAAGAAAATATACATACTTGCAGGAACCACTCAATCTAGCAAACCACAAATGCACATGCACGAAAAAGTTTTTGGAAAAGAGTACGTAGCAGATCCGGGACATACAAGAGAATGAGGGACTAATTCAAAGAAAGAGAAAACATTTGAAAAAAAAAAAAAAAAAAAAAATTTGATTACTGAAGCTACAGCTTCAAAAACCACTAAACATGTGTTAAACAAGTCGTTCGGTTTTGGCCTCGGCAGCTTTCACCATTAACAGAATGATATCAGAAGTACCAAGTTGTGCACTGAAATTAGATCTAATCATCTAAACCAGCAACCCAAATCTAAAGAATATATATATAAATTTGGCAAAGCATTTTAATCTTCACATGCTTTAAAGAACTACTGTGACAGATATACAAATAAAAACCTATACAGGGGAATCAATCAAATTATCTGCTGCTGATCAGTTTTGGCATCATAAGTGAAGACGACTACTCGTTAACCAAGTAGCTCAATAATAAGCTATTCATTCATCAACAATATATTTACATTCAACCAAACTCAGATCCATTTTTATGATCGAGCCCTCAAGAGTAAATCAAGACATGTCAGGGAATTTAAAAAATAAAAAATTCAAACAACTGCATAGGCTTCCTTCATGAATGTCATCCAATTCTTTAGTACATGAAAAGGAATCCACATTTGACTATACTTAATTATACTCTGGCAACCTCAAGAAATTGCCATACCACGTAACTAGCAAGCAAGGCTACTTGGCTGCAACCAAGCAGATCAAATATAAGAAAAATGTAGTCTAAAGAAAAGAATAGAAGAGAAATATATATATATATATATTCTAGCTCAGGAAATATTTATAATACAAATAAAGAAATGAGAAACAACCACAATAATATTTAATTAAAGGTCTTGCAAGCTTGATCTCACATTTTGAAAAAACAAGAGATAAAAATAGATTACTTTATCACAAAATGATAAGCAAAAAAAAACTAAATTAAAATAGATTTGACTAAAAGACAATCCAAAAACAAATTAAGTCTATACTCATTTTCCTAAAACAGTTGGCACAATCCGAATTGAGGGTGGCATATGGTTATGTGAAGGATCAAGGATGTAATGGGTCCCAATGCTTTCATTCTCTATGTTGAAGATACCAATGTTGCGGCACCCAGATGCGGGATAGTATACAATGATATTATAATCTTCTGTGTAGAATATTGAATTTGCCTGACATCCGGGCCATTTGGAAGTTGAAACACAAATGGAATGGTTATCTCCCCAAAACAGGGTGGTGTCTCCGCCCAAGTTGTTCACTTCAACCCGCATAGGCCAACCTTGCTCAAATTGCTCTAAGAGTAACTTGAAAACCTGAAATCTCTTTTTATCTAATGTAAGTCCAAGCTTCATCTCCTGCCCAAATAAATGCCAGGTTAGAACGACAACCATAGATGGCGGTAACAATATAGTCATTAGGATACGAAGTAGGGTCAACTAGCAATATAGTCTTTGCAACTTCAAGCTCAACCTTCGGAGGAACTGCGTCAATCTCGTATAAGATCTCACCATCACTATCACCGCCATTTTCATGAGGAGGTTCAAATTCTAAGCAGTCCATTATTGGAGGAAGCTCAATGGTGGCGCCAATAAAAAGGATTCATTAGAGTTACGCCCAAGGATTCTTCCACAGTAAACAGCCAACCATGTAAGGAACCAGAAAGCCTCTTTTTGTAAGGCACCCGTAAATGAAAATCATATAGCTCATTATGAGTGATGCTATATAGACTACGTCTTTTGTCGGTATCATCTTTCCAAGGCACCATCAAGAATGGAACTAGTCTAAAAAACTTATTTTGAATGAATTTAAGTTTGTTGTCAATTGCCACACACTGCCATGGTTTGCAAACCACACCAAATCGAACATATTCAGAAATGAAACCAACTTGTCCAGAATCATATCCGATAAGTTCTTTGGCAGGGATGCCCAATTTGACTCCTCCATTGAACTCATCATGTTTATCTCGCTAATAGCACTGCAATGTCAATCAAAGAATCTATATAATCACAATACATTATATCTGCAATACTCAATTCGAATGGGTTTACAATTTTAAACTAATTGATTCACAAAAAACTTGCTGCATATAGTATGAATTAGTCATTGGTGCAATACCTCTTTCATCATACACTGAAGATAACAGATTTGCTACTAACAAATTCGAAAAAACTATTCTAATAAAATTCATTTTCAACATTAAAATCTAATTGAGCCACTACCAAATCCAAATCCCATAAAAACTATATATATTGTGAATATGAACAACCAAAAAAAATTACATCAAGGCAGCAATATTATTTAATCTTTATATGAACATATATATTTACTAATCAGGAATTATATGAATTATATATATATATATATATATATATATATATATATATATATAGTATGTATATATATATATATATATATATATAGTATGTATATATAAGTTCTGGAATATATACACACACACACAAGTAGATCACACCAATCACTTGAAAAGGAGATATATTAGGGTTATACATCATATGAATATGAATACATGACCGAATAATAGTAAATTCAGCTAACAAAGTAGGTAAAAGTAGAATAAGAATACACACAAAGGTTGGAGCTTAAAATAAAGGAAAAGATCAACTCTTCTTTTCTATTTTCAATTCAAAAAACTAGAACACCTTCTGAATCGTGAAGAAAGGACTCAGTTGTTTTTTAAGCATTAAACAGATCAAAGGACTCACTGAAATGCAAAGAAATGTTGTTGTACTAAATCACCCCTTCACTGTTTGAGTTTGTAAATTTTTGAAAGATAGTTTGCATTTTGAAATTTCAGTTTAGGCGTCTGCTAAGTTGCAGGGGAGGAGGAACCTATACGGTTAAATTTTAAATGGTCACAAGTACTTTATTTTTTTCCTTCTTTTATCTAATTTACCAAAAAGTTATGAAATTAACATGACAACATAAAGCTCAAATTAGTGGATTCGGTAACTGTATTTAGCATACTGCTAATGATTATTGCCATTGGTAATTAAAGGCTAAAACTCATGCCAACATGCAATTGCAGAATCCAATAAATGGAGACTTGCTTATAGTGCAACAGAGAGATCAAAACTTACTCACCCAAATATACAATAATTGTTGCATCAAGTTTACACCAAAATAAGAATCACTTAACCAACTTCATTTAAGATTTATCACTAACAATCTATGCTTTCAAAAATCAACATCAGGTCAGAACACCTACTTTGTGAAACAAAGCTGATCAGATTACTTTGTTATAAACTGACTTCACATCAGTGTGTTTATGATCTGCATAATTGTGCAGAATTGTCTGCAATAAGAATCACATACAGAGGCATTTGACCAGTGCAGACAAACTTACCTTGGTAACTAAAACAGACAAAAAAGAAGGGCATTACTAGACCAAATCCGAAAATAGACTGCGTTAGTCCACAGGACACCTTTTGAGGTTACTCAACATGTTCTAATTTTTCTTCCATTAGATACAAAACTAGAAAATTATGCCAAATATGTGCAACAAAACAGGATTTAGAATTAGAAACCATGCTAAACCAATGGCTATGTTATGACCTGCATTACTTGTCAGCAGATCATGTCGATTGCAGGGCACTAAGCTTCCTTGGTGTATGCTTCTAACTTTTATCAAATTCTATTTACCTGGTGAAAAGGAGGTGAACTCCATGTACAAGATTCCATCCTAACAAAATTTCTATTATCCTCACCATCGGAATAACTTTTGAAAGTCCTTGGCATTATTCCAAAGCATCAAAACACGTGTCGTAAAGTCATGGATGATGAGATAAATTTTCTTCTGAGATTGATAACTCCTAAATGTTGCACTTGTTTATGCTACATACATTAAATGAAATATGTCTGTATGACAGTATAAATTACAATAAACATAAAGGAAAACCAGATCAATCATTTTTTTTCCTCAATCTTTTTCTTTCAGCTCTTAAAATGCAAAGAGTTCATACAAAAACTATAAACATCATCAAGCACAATTTTCATTTCATTTCAAAACAACCAGACAGAGAAATAGAAAATCATGTCCAGGAACTCAAATTTTCTTACCTTATTGCCTGCAGGATATCAGTCGGCACAAATTGAACACATCCATTGATGAAAACTTCAATAGTTGAACCCCAATCAAACATAGTTGAGCTTCAACAGCTGCTTTAGATTCCAATCCAAGCTCCCATAGCTGCTTATGCTTCATAATCGACTACATGCATTGATTAATTTTAGCCCTTAAAAGCACAGGTATGGCAAATATATTTTAAAGAGAGAGAGATAGAGAGAGAAACAGAGTTCGGTACATGTTGACAATTGATCTCTAATACACATATTTATATATGTATAATATGTTTATATGTAGAGAGAGAAATGAAGAGTTGATATTGATTTTCCAGTTACAGGACTATGTATTTCAATGAAAATTCTATTCTTGCTATGAAGTGAGAGAAGAGAGAGAATGGCTGCTAGAAAGAAATAAGAGTAATCTATGAGAGAAGACAGAGTCAGACAGACATTCTAAGAGATAGATGATTATTCTTTTTGGGCTTAAATAGCTTTGTGTGTAGTGAGAGAGAGACGGGAGAGAGACGGGTGTAGTGCAGGAAAGATAAGTTTCACGGAAGAGTACTTGGGGTAAGTGGGGGAAAACTAATAAAATAGTTTGAGTGTTGGTCAGCGGTGGCTAGAGAAAAAGGCAGGAATAAAGAGGCTCCTGCAGCGGTTTAGTTAGACCGCTGCCGATTAGTCCCACTCTGTGCTTCCAGCTTTCCTAAGTGAGTTAGTCAATAGTGAGTTAGCCGGTTAAGGGGTCTCTCGAGCCGGAAGTTCCGTTCACACTCCTATAAACATCTGCCATCATTTCCTTATTAACTTGCAGTGAGGATATATGATGAATTCAGTGCTACGATTCTTGCCTGCAAAGAGAACAATAAATGAAAGCAGAACTCAGACTTCGTTGAACAAGTCAGGCTTATAGTAAATCTGTTGCGTTATAGCAATTATCCAGGATGAAAATTCTCACTGTAGGAATCACTCAATCTGGCAACCATCTTTCATGCACAAAAAAGTTTTTGGAAAAGAGTTACTAGCAGATCCAGGACATACAAGGGATGAGGGACTAATTTAAAGAAAGAGAAAACATGTGTAAGAAAAAAAAATTATGATTACCGGAGTTGCAGCCTCAAAAACCACTAAACATGTGTTAGGAAGGTGGAAAGTCAAGTTGTTCGGTTTTGGTCTACACTGAAATTAAATCTAATCATCTAAACCAGCAACCCAATGCATCGGTAACAGATATTATACAAAATTTGGCAAAGCATTTTAGTAAAGAATATATAAGCAATCTTCACATGTTTTGAGGAACTACTGTAACAGCCATACATATAAAAACATATCCAGGGGAATCAGTTTTGGCATCACAAGTGAACACAACTACTCATTAATCGAGCGCTCAATAAAATGCTAAACATTGATCACCAATAGATTTACTTTCAACCAAACTCAGATTTATAATTATGATCGAGCCCTCGAGAGTAAATTCAAGATATGCCAGGGAATTAAAAAATCAAAGAACTACATCCGCTTCCTTCATAAAATGTCAATCAATTCTTTAGTAAATGAAAAGGAATCCACATTGCAACATGATAAGGAACCCACATTTGACCAAACTTAATTATAAACTGGCAACCTCAAGAAATTGCCATACCATGTACCTAGCAATCAAGCAACGCTACTTGGCGCAACCCAGCAAAATCAAATATAAAAAATGTGGTCTTAATTCTTGGCCGAAGGACTACTGACAGCACAATAGATGAGAGCTGGATTGCATTACAAGGACACTTTAACCATCAAGAATTATGATTCCATGTAATTTCCAACCCTCATTTTAAGGAATTTGATTCATGATGCTAATAGAGAAAAAAGACTGTAACTTTCTTCTACGGAAAAAGACAATAAATTTCTTAAAAGGAAAAAGACAGTAACTTTCTTATAAGAAAAAATGAATTGCAGCTCAAAAATATTTATAATACCATAAAAATTGAGAGAAACGCACAATAATATTTAATTATATGTCTTACAAACTTTATCTCACATTTGCCACAGTAAGAGATAAAAATAGATTTTTTTTCACCACATTAAAATGATAAGCAAAAAAGATTAAACAAATTAGATTGACCAAAAGTCATGTGAAACAAATTAAGTCTATACTGAATTTCCCAACACAGTTGGGACAATCCAAATTGAGGGCGGCATATGGCTATGTGAACAATCAAGGATGTAATGCGTCCCAAAGCTTCCATTCACTATGTTGAAGATACCCATGCCGCGGTGCCCAAATGGGGGATAGAATAAAACGTCAATAGGATCATCAATATAGTATATGGAATTCGGTTGGCATCTGGGCCATTTGGAAGCTGAAACACAAATGGAATGGTTATCTCCCAAAAACAGGGTTTCTCCACCCGAATTCTTCACTTTAACCAGCATATGCGACCCCTCCTCAAATTGGTCTAAGAGCAACTTAAAATTCTTAACCCTGAAGTTGCATGCTGTGAATCGTCTCCAAGTTTTAAAAACCTTTGTACAAGAAGGATTTACCGGTAGATGATTCAACAAGATACTTCTGTTCAGAATATGGAATAGTCTGCGTTGCAATCCCCTCCACTTGCGGAGCCTTACTCTCCCCAGCCCTTCTATTAGCATCAATCATTAGGATTCTATTTCTAATATCAACTGCAAAAATCCGGCATTTATAATATACGACATCAAAGATGGGCTTAAATCTCTCTTTATCTTTGTAAGTCCAAGCTTCATCTCCTGACCAAATAAATGCTAGGTTACAACAATCACCATAGATGGTGGTAACAATATAGTCATTGGGAGACGAAGCAAAGTTTGACAATATAGCCTTTACAACTTCAAACTCAGCCTCAACACCATCGTTGCCATTCTGATGATTTCTGAGAGGTCCATAATTGGAGGAAGCTCAATGGTAGCGCTAGAGAACGGATTCATTAGAGTTACGCCCAAGGATTCTTCCACCGTAAACAGCCAACCATGTGAGGAACCAAAAAACCTCTTTTTGTAAGGTACCTGTAACTAAAAATCATATAGCTTATTATGAGTGATGCTGCACAGACTACTCCTACTATTATCTTTCGAAGGCACCATCAAGAATGGAACTTGTGTGGAACATTTATTTTGAACAAATTTAACTTTGTTATCCATTGCCACAGACTGCCATGATTTGCAAACCGCACCAAATCAAACATATTCAAAAAGCGAAACCAAATCGTCTAGAATCATAAAGCGATGCCCAATCTGACTCCTCGATTGTCATATCCAGTAAGTTCTTTGGCAGGGATTGTGAGGTCTTATACAAGATTGGTGCGATATTGGTGCAATACCTCTTTCATCATACACTGAAGATAACTGCTACTAACATATTTGAAAAAACTATTCTAATAAAATTAATTTTCAATATTAAAATCTAATTGAGCCACTACCAAATCCAATTCCCATGAAAAAAAACTATATATATTGTGAATATGAACAATCAAAACAAGTTAGGCTGCAATAATCTTAATCTTTATATGAATATATAAAGTATGCATATATAACTTCCGGAATATTAATACATAATAGTAAATTTAGCTAAGAAAGTAGGTAAAAGCAGAATAAGAATATAGGGTTTATTTGTCTTTGGAAAACCAACCTATTCCTCTGTTGTACTTGTCGAGTACAGAAATCACTCCGAAGATTCATTAGGATATCTTGCAGCTCCACGTCGGCACCTCCCCTTTGCTAACGCCGATGGCTTTCCCGCAGTCACCGTCTCACAGTCGCCGTGCTGCAACAATCCCCACCCAACAGATGGAAGAAGCGTTTGGAACAAGCGACAATGAGCACGGCATCGGAGATGGAGACACGCGCTGTCTGCAAGTGAGGCGACAGCAAGTTCACAGCGGTGATGAGGTCGGGACGGCGATATTGAGAGAGAATGTGGCTGAGGACGCGGCGGTGGTGAAATTGAGAGAGAAGGCGGGTGGACTGGCGGCATTGCGCAGAGAGAGAGGAGGGGGAAACGAAAGTGGGTTAGGGTTTTTTTTACAAAATTACATTAACGAGGATGACGACTTCCTCTAGCATCAGTGGCGAAGTGGCAATGAGAACGCCAATCACCTCTAGCACCAGCGGCGATGAGGACCACGACCGCCTTGTTCTCAAATCCATCCCTCTCCGCACTGACGATGACATCCTCAACGACTCTGTATCATCTTCCCTTACTCATTCTTCACTGTCTCGCTCGTACCTTCCACGCCCACGCTTCCCATCAGATCGCGTAAGAGGTTTTTGTCTTAGGCTATGTTTGGTGTGGGTTCGAAGGGAAGGATAACAGTTGGGATAATTTTAACCCTAGTATTTGATTGATTAACGAATAAAAAGAGAAGAAAGGATCATGTTTGGAAAAAGAAAGAAAAAGAAAGAGAAGAAAATTATGTTAATAAAATTATTATTATACCTTCTAATATTTTAAAAGATAAATTTATAAATGTAGTTATAAGGGTGATCACATATTCAATCGGTTCGGTTTGAGGTAAAGTTCAATCATAAACGATCCTTACGAATTGGAGAGATTTGAAACCGAACCGATCCGGATCTTCAATTCGAACCAAACCAATCCGTGAATTAACGAATCAGTTTGGGTGAATTGGGCTTTTCAAATAGCCCAATATAATTATACTTTATGGCCCATTAAAATCTCAAATTAGTATTAAAAACTAGTACTTAAAATTAGAAAAATAAAATAAATTTGTAAATCATATACCGGGTAACATGCTAACACTGATAGCAATAAAATTTGTAAATCATATACCAAATAAGAACAATAGATTTGTAAATTATATACTTAATAACTGGCAATATAAATTATCCAAATAAAATAATGAATAAAAAAAATAGAAATATAGTAAGTATATTCAATATTGTATATATATATATATATATATATATATATATATATATATATATATAATGTTAATATATTATTTAGACAACGGTTCGGATCGGTTCGAATTAGTTTTTTCAGGGCTTAATCCGTTAACCGAACCGTGAATTGTGGATTGCTATTTTTCTAAACCATCACCGAACCATGAGATCTGAAACTAAACCAAACCACACGGATCAGATTGGTTCGAACCGGATTAACATATTGACGGATTATTTGTTCACCCCTACCTGTGGCCCAAGGCTGATGGGCCACCAGAAAAGAAAGAAAATATTTTTAGGGCAAATCATTTCAGCCTCACCAATCGCCTCCATCTCTATTCTCGTTGTCGACTTTGAACTTACCATCTCTCTCTCTATCTCACTCTCTCTGCAACTGCAAACTACAAGAATCAGAAGTTCAAAACCCATATATTTCAGTTTATATATCTGTCTGCACGAATCAAAAGTTCAGAACCCATATCGGCATATCATTTCAGATTGTTCAAAAAATCAAAACCCATATCTTTCAGTTTCCATCGCCCGCTGTTCGTCGTCGTTCGCAAGCTTCAGCCGCTGGCCCTCTGTCCATCAACTCTCAAGCTTGCCCCCCCCTCTCTCTCTCTCTGCAACTGCTAAGTTGTACCTATAGGTTTTGTTTTATTTTAATTTTTTCTACATCAACTAATCAAGGTCCGTAATTCTTGTTTTGCAAACTAAATTCACATGTAATCAAGGGCAGATTTGGCATCAGAAATCACACACCAAACCTCTCATTCCTTTTCCTTCTATTTCCTCCCATTTTTTGGAGGATTACAAAACTTACTGTTAAGCCTATTTCTATCCCTCCAAAACCCTCCATTCCCTTCCCTTTCCCTTCCTTCCAACTTTTAGCCACAAACATGTTTTTTTATCACCCTCCATAACCTTTCTTTTCTTTTCCTCCCATTTCCACTCTACCAAACTGAGCCTTAGGGTTTGGTTTGTGACGGTTGTGTGGCTTGTAAAGAAACGGTGAAGGGAGTCTCGATTTTTAAGGTTTTAGTTTGGGATTTTTTTTTTTTTTCATTTTTGATTTTATACATTTATTAGTATAAGGGTAGCTTTATCATTTTAAAAATATAGTGCTAACATGTGTTCATCACGTGCCTAATTCGTGGCAACTTTACCCGTGAATAATAATTGGCCAGAGAAATCAAGCGTAACTTCATCAGTGGGTAATTTTTGCAATTTTAAAAATATAGTACTAGTATGTGTTCATCACGTGTCTAATTGGCTAGATAAATTAAACGGAACTTTATCGGTGGGTAATTTTTGCAAAAAAAAATAGATAGTTTAAAAAGTTAACAGTAAAAGTAGTTTAGGAAATTTTTTTTAAGAAGAGAGTAAAATTTAGGAATATTTGCACTCTGTCCTAATGACATTGATCAACTCTCTGAACCCACTCCAGTGGAGATAGTAATTTTTGACAATCAATCAATTATGAAATCTATTTTGGTCCTTGCAAATTTAGTAGTGGTGGTAGCCCCCTCCTATGGTAGATGCTCATGAACACACCCAAATGGGTTTTTACAAAAAAGAGAGAGAAATTCTGTTTTTGGGTATTATTTGTGTGCGTGTATATATATAATATATGTGATTTGTTGTTGAGAGATGAGAGGAGAGGAGATGAGAGAGGTATGGTGGTGTGGTAAGCGCTGAATATTTCATATTCAAGCGCCCTTAATTGCATATTTTAGTCTATTTACTTTATCAATAAAATGTATATTATTGGCTTTTGTGTGTTTTATCTATTTTCAAGGCTTATCTCCAAAAAGGAATAAAAACAAAGTTTTAAGAGACCTCAATGAACATGGTTCATGGCGAGTTGAAGAATCAACTAAAGTGATCCTAAGTCCATAAGCAAGCTCAGCTTAAGGAAGTCGATCCAATAAGCTGGGCAAGAAAGATGAAGTGCATTCCAGAAGAACAAGGCTGGCGTCCGGACGTAGCCTCCAAAAGCATTCTTGGTGTCCAGACGCCCTGTGTAAACGTGGCTCATCAATTGCAATTTCAAAAGAAGAAATTCCAGTAGCCAAAGAAATTTGCGTCCAAATGCCCACATCTGTATTTGAACGTCCCATGCCACAAGGCTGCAGCATAGGCACCCCAACGAGCGCAAGGCACATAGTATGACAAGTTGCGTCCGAACGTCAACCTGCGAATAAATATGTTGATTCAAATTTTCAGTTATTTATCTCTCTCCTCCACTTGAATGCACGAATTTTGTGGGAATTTTGAACTAAAGTCTGACTAGGGGGAGCTATATACATATCTTTATATTGTATCTTTGATATTATTCATTGAATCATTCAAATTTGTATAATTCTAGAGAGAGAAACTGAGGAAATAGATAGGGTTATTAAGTGTTCTTGAGAGGGGCTGTTATGGGGTTGAAGATGGAGACTTTCTCTTCATTCCTTGGGGCTTTCCACCACTAGAATGAGCTTAATCCCCTATAAGGGGGATTGAGGTAGCCTTTACCAAATAATCATGTAGTTTTTGTATTTCAATTTGGGAAATGATATTATATGTAATTGATTTCATGAATAAGATGATGGTCTACATTTAATTAGCGTTTTTACATAGAAATGGTGTATGATCTTAATTGAATTCCTATACGAGTACGTTTATATGCAATTCTTGTCTTAAAACCATATTTACACAATCATACTCTTGATATTCTCATAGTTACAATGAGGATTGAATTCATGAAATGGATTTATTGCCATGTTATGTAGGAATTTGGATAAATTATGCTAAGGGAAGATGGACCATGTTACACCTTTAGGTTAATTTAGTTAGGTAGATGGTTCATGCCTACTAAAGATAGTTTATACTAGATGTTTTACTTTCATGTGCTAAAAATTATAATTTCAGAACCTTGATAAGTCATGCCCAGGAAAGATGGCTCATACCACAATCTAGTTTAGGTGAATGAGTCATGCCAACTAAAGATGGGTTATGCTTAGTTTTGAATTGTATGAATTTTCTGGAAATTGTTGTAGTTGTTGTATGCATCTACACATTATAGTTATATATAATTGTTTTCTCCAAGTTGATTACATAGTAGCATGATTATGATGTTTCGATGAACTCGATTGCCTAGTCTCTTCTCTTTATTAATTCAAACATTTGAATTCGTTTTAAATTCTATTTTAAGTTCATTATATGCTAAGCAACAAACAAACCAATCTTCAATCCAAATTGTGACACTTGACAAATCTAAATTAAACTTTAAATTTTGATTGCTGTAAGTTAGCAATCTTCGTGGATCGATACCCTTGCTTTGCCATTTTCTACTTGAATTTTGTGCTATAGTTAATGGTTTATTATTGATATGCTTGTGGCACACATCATGGTGGCGGTAGTGGGTGGAGATGGCGGTGACTAGAGAAGGTGATAGTGGGAGTAGATGGAGAGGATAGAGGCAGGTGGTTATAAGCAAACCCAAAATGGGTTTTTCTACCTAGGATTAGGTATTATATATATATGAGATTTGATGTTAAGACTTAAGAGTGAGAGGAGAGAAAGAGGGAGAGGTGATATGGTGGTGGTGGCAACTGTGGCTGGAGATGGCAGTGGGCTGGAGTTGGCGATGATGAGTGGAAGAAGAAAGAGGGGAGAGAATAATTGACTTTTTAGGATATTTTTTATTATAAAATTAATTACAAATAGGGGTAGAATGGATTTTTTTGTAATCACATTTAACATTTGTTAGACCACCAACGGCTTCAAGGGAGGTGAGAGCAATAAACATATCTAATTTGACAAAATTTTAAGAAAGGTCAGTATAATTTACCTATTTTTTTTAGGTAAAGTACAGAAACACCCCATGAGGTTTGGGATAAGGCCATGCAGATACAAGTTTGCCTATTTTTGGACAACCACACCCCCTTGTGAAATTTGTCATCTAAACAGAGCTTTAAAACATGTGAAAAGTCCACTTTACTCTTCCCTATTTTATTAATTTTAATTATAAAATATCAAAATACTTAAATGACCAAATTACCATTGCCTCTTTCTCTCAATTACCCTATGCCCCCTCTCTCGATATACACCCGTCTACTGTGCAGTCGCCACCACCCGTCCACTGCACCGCCACCGCCGATTAGTACCATCACCATTCCTCACCGACGCCGTTTAGTACCATCACCGCCACGCCAGATCTCCTCATCGTTCTGTCCAAGTCCCCCCAGTTTAAGCTCGGATGTCGCTGACTTCTATGGACGACGCAACACGGAGCTCCATTGCTCCATCTCTTCAACCATAACCGCCGCCATCATCTCCCTCCTCAACCACATCCGCGGCCACCATCAACCCCGATTTGAATCTTTTGCAGGATATATATACGTATGTATATGTTTTGGGACCCGATCTGAACCTTCAAAGCGTTGAGCGATGG